TCTGCTGGACACAGCCCACCATGGCTGCTGGGGACACGGGCAGCTGAGACCGGGGCCCACAGAGCACAGCTGGCAGGGCGGTGTGGCTCTGCACATGCGGCAAAGCACGCACCGGCACATTCAAACAGTGTGGGGAACGTCCTTTAAATATCAGAGTGAGAAACATCAGAGAAGGCAACATTATTAGAGAGATGTTAGCAAGAAAGGAAGGCTGGAACAGCTTGAGGCTGAAAAGTGGCTTGCTCGCTTCATTTCTTTGGCTTCTTGGGCAGCGGCCGCCGGAACAGCAAGATGTGAGGTTCTGGAAGAGGGAGTGACACCTGAGAGAACGGCTCACACAACCTTCTGGGTGCACAGGATCTAGTCTATCCCAGCCCGCTCCAGCCCCCCGGCATCACCCACTCAGAGTTCTGTAATGGAATCATGAAGCATATGGCCTGAGCGGCAGACCCAGAAGTCGGGCCCATCTGCCAAGTACAGAATTGTTAATATCAGGTCTTCTGCTAACTCTGGACAGCCCTGGGTGTCCTTTATTAGTTTTGCCTGGCAGCTGGGTGCCTGGTGTCTTACCAAGAAATAGGCTTCCCTTGGCTCATTTGGAATACATCCAGGAATTGGCTCTCTAATGGGGAGCAGGGGCTGTAGCCTCACAAACACCCCTCCTGCTCCCCTCCCCCCATACTTCACTCTACTTTGGGTCACTCTGGTTATTCTAGATGGCTGATGGAAAGGGGCCAGTAAAAGTAACACCCTCCACTTTCTGTTATGCAGTCTCCCTTCCGTGTAGCAGCTTCCGGCCGCACCACTGACCTGGTTCATGGATCATATAATGGACCCATCCCTGACTCTGCTGGACGCCAAGATTCCTCCATTCAGATTCAGACATCAAGTGGGTTTTCGGGACCAGCTTGGCTATATCCTTGGGCAACATGACGTGCCTGGAACAGAAACACGGGGAGGCGGGGTCTTGGAGTCAGTGCTGGGCCTTCCAACTGAGCATCTGCCTTTCCACTCCAGATACACTGAATCAGAGCCTACATTCTACCTAGATCCCCAAGGACCCTGTGAGAATCACCAAGGAATCTTGTTATAAGACTCTGATTCAGTGTATGAGGTAGAAATGGACATTTCCCAGCAGGAGGTCAGACCTGAAGGGACCTGTTTGCCATCCTGGTCAATATTGGTTTGCTTGTTGGATTCAATAGCAAACAAACACTGGGTGAGGGTGGGGGGTGGGAAGGAGCGGGAGTGAAGGAGGCAGTTTGACACCAGTGAGTTTATACAATTGTATTGTGGGATAGAGGCAGCTATAAACACAGACCACGGTATGTAAACTAGACTAAAAGTAAAAATTAACCAGTAATTTAAAGGGACGAGACCCTGAGTTCTGCACACTGCTGATTACATTGTCATGGAACTAAAAATCTTCTGGTTTCTTCCCCCTAGGACATCGGTTCTCAGCCTGTGGGTCTTGACCCCTGGGAGGGGGGTGACGAATTACCCTTTCACAGGGGTCTCCCGATCCGTAACAGTAGTAAAACCAGTTTTGAAGGAGCAACGAAAATAATGTTATGGTTGGGGGGAGAGGGTCACCACAACATGAACTGTATGGAAAGGTGGAGGCATTAGGAAGGTTGAGAACCACTGCCCTAGGAGTATACTAGTGGTTAATCCAGATGGGCGGTGAGCAGGATTGGTAAAGAAGGGATTCCTGGGTGCACCTCAGCAAATCAAACAGAAATGTCTTTCTTAAGTCCTTAACATCCATCCAAAATCTCATTTTCCCAATTCTGAAGGGCTGTGCCAGGAGTCTTTTGGGAAAATCCCATGCTTCCCAACCTAAGGATTAGTCTCTTCACAGTAAAAAAAACCGGACTGATTTGGAATCAGGTTAACCTGGATGCTACTTGCAACATGGAAAGGTACTAAATGCTCTCTCTGGGCTAGAAAGAGGTCTGGAAACAGCTTACATTCCAACAAGCCCAGGGCACAAAGTTTGGCCTCAATGCATAAACAGCAACAACAACAAACCACGCCCACCACCTCCTCCTCTTAAAACCACCACCACCCATTCCTCTGAGACCAACCACCCCTGTACAGCGCACCACCAGGGACGAAGCTAGTGGCTTTCCCCTAAACCCGTGAAGGTGGCTATGCGCATAGTCTTAGTCTGGTTCAGGTGTAAGCAGCTGAGGAAGACAAAATTAATGGTGCCCACCGATGGCCTGGGTCTTTCCCCAAGGCCCTGGCATCAAGATGTCTTTGTATCCATCAACATATGAGGTCTCCCTCCAGTGTCCAGCACCCTCACCCCCGGACCCCCGCTGGGGTGGGCGGCGAGAGACACACCAAGGAAAGCAGGTTTCCGGGTTCTGTCCTCCGAATTGCAGAGGCAAGATGCAAACCAGGGAGTGCTGCCATTCCGATTCAGAGTTACTCCTTTGTCCTCCCTCACTTTCTACGATTTCAGGCAGAGGTGTTTTCTCCTTCGAGCCGCATCTCAGGAAAGTTCCTCTAGGAAGCTTTCCCAGATCTTCCCCCCTTCTTCTGCAGGTCTCAAGTGTCCCCACGACTCCCTGAAAGATCCCTGGGATCGCATTCATCGCCCTTCTGGAGTCTCAGTATGTCCTACAGATTTTACGTTCGCTGAGAGGCTGTCAGTCGGGCGCCCGGGGAGAACACCTGAAACCTATAAGCATTCGGTCACTTATCCACGAAGAGCCAGAGGCTCTTCAAAATCTGAATCTAAAGTTCCCATCTTTGAGGTCCACCTTAATTCGCTTCCCAAGGGTCGCCAGCAGCCAGCACCCAATCGAAAATAAACCCGGCAGCCATCCCGCGGCCCCCAGGCCTCGCTCAGACTGCGAGCAGTTCCCACTCCTCCCGAGTAAGCCTTAGGTCCCTAAAGCAATCTTGGAAGAGGAGGCGTGTACGGGTGGCAAGTTCAGAGATTCGGAAGCCCCGAAGGGCGAAGGCCCCCGGCGCTCTGACCACGCCCACAGAGGCTTCCAAAGTTGCAACCACTTTAGCGTCGCGCCCGGGCGCGTCCCACCCAGAGCGCATGCCCAGAGCGCCTCGCCAACTCCTCCCGTTAACCTCGCGCATGCGCGGGCTCGGTCGCCTAATGCCTCCTGACTAACTTCTCGTGCGCTCGTTTGTCACGGGGTATGGCCTCGCTCGTTCCCCCGCGCCGGCACTAACCTGTACTCGAACTCCTCGTCGTCGTATTTGTCCGAATAGTAAATCTGCTTGTGCGACATGCTCGTTTGGAGGGACTTCGGCCCCTCGCCGCCAACCTCCAAACAACTCCCAGCAGCACGCGCTCCCACCCTCTTTGGCCTCGCTTTCAAACACACCGCCCGCACTTCTTATTGGTCTCTGTAGTCCAAGGCGGGACAGCTCCACCTTCAAGCCTCCGATTGGCTTAGACTTTTTCCTCTTGGGGTTCTCATTGGAGGGTAAGGCTTACGTTGCTCAAGAACCAGCGTGGGTGAAAAATAGGTCTTTTATTGGCTATCACTAAGGGCCGGCGCGTTCTCGCGCTACCATTGGCGGATTTTGGAAAGTGGGATGGGTGAAAGAGGGACTGTGAGGTAGAGGGTCAGGGGTTAGTGAGGCCGGAAGTGAGTGCAATAAAGTTTCTCCAGGGAGGCTGGGTCTGGGGAGAAAGTTGGAGCGGCGACCTGAGCAAGCAGTGGCGCAATCCGGAACCACATAGGCCCGCGGTGCGGTGCGGAGACTCCATGCAGCCCTGGTGAGTCTCGACGCCTTTTCTCCTTAGGTGACCCATACCTCCACCCCGGAACCCCTCTCCCGGGACCCCACTTCCGGTCTTCATTAGTAAGTCCCGCCCTCTGAGACCCCCTCCCCGGAAGTCCCACCTCCCACCTCCGAGGGGCGCTCTCTTACGTTTCCTAGCTCCAGGGGTCGGTCTCCCCCATCCCAGATTTATTTTTCTATTTATTGTCCCTGATTCTACCTGGTCTCTCAGCTCTCCTGGAACCACCATTCCCAGACTTGCTGCCTTCCAAACCCTTACTACGGGAGACTTGCTTCATTCCTCCACGTCGCCGAGGCCCCGTCCTTTTCGCGACAATTCTCCGCTAATTCCCGTCTGTCAAAAAGCCTATCTCCCTGAAGGCTAAATCTTGTGCCTCTAAGAATTATTCGAATTCGTTGAGGCCCCGCCTCCGTAGTAGCCCCGCCCCCGAAGCCCCGCCCTTTCGCGTCCCAGACTAAATGGTCCAGAAACCTCTTCTCCGTGAAGCCTCCGGTGTACACGTCCTAGGGACCACGCCCCCCTGGGCCTTTTATCCTTAGGGGACCCAGGTTATCAGCACCTCTGAAGCTTTGTCTTCAATCTCAAAAGTTACACCTACTTAATACACCCCCAGGTCCTTAGGCTCAGTTTTCCTGAGCTGTCGCGCCTGAGGGTGAGAAGTCAGAGTTCCCATCCCTAACCCTGAGGAGTGAAGGAATAGAGGCGTCCCGTTCCTCTACTCCTCCTAGTCTGGACCGGCCTGTGGTGGGCTGCCCCGAGCGTGGTTGACTTGCTCATAGATGACCACGCCCCTCCCTCCCATCCCAGCCCACTTCGAAGGGCCAACTCTACCCCCCAAACAGCTGTAAATCGTACCTGTACCTCAGGAGTAGGGTAGGGCCGTGGATTCGTTATTGTTTGCCATGTGGGTGTGACAGGAGCCAACGTGTGCAGTGTGGGTGGGGAGCACTGCCCTTTTGGGCGGTTTGATTTATTTTATTTTTAATTTTTTAAAGGGACGCTTTAGCCCCCACCACTTCTCTGGCTCTTCCCATCCCCTCTAAGAGGCGTTCTGGTCTGGGCATTCCTCCCGGCCCCGCTTTTCCTACTGGAAACATTCCTGAGGCTTTCAGCCATTTCCTGCCGCTTCCCGCGCCTCTTTCCTCCTCCCTGCTGGGCTGCGAAGCCCTCGTACCCAATCACCAGGATGCCCAGTAGGCAGTGTCTATTCTCCCTATGCAAATTCGGAGCTAAGCTTCCTCTTTCTTTTCTTCCAAGTGCCCCTACCTGTTGTCACTTAGGATATCCTGGTGTGTGTGTGTGTTTTGTAAGGCTGTGGCAGAATTCTTTCTCATCCTGTCAATGCCTGGAAGCTCGGGCCTTAGGGAATTGAGTGCTAGAATTCCTTTACAGGAGTGGTGGATGGAGTGACAAGCTCGTCTGGGATGAGGAGTAAGGGGAGATGGGAGAGGTTAGCCAAGTATGGAACTCATTTTAAGGATCAGTATTCTCAGTCACTATAATCATACGATGATTTGCTTTTTATTTTCTGAAGCAAATCAGAAGGTAGGGTAATTCTGATGTGAGCCTAGGGGTGTGTGTCTCGGTTACTTCTTGTTTTGGGGTACTTCCTCACTTCCTCTGTGGCCCCTCACGCACAGCTGTGGCGGGAAGCTGTGGCGGGAAGGGTGGGATTGTTCCCTGCGATAGTCTGGGCCCCCTTCTGGCAGCCTTTCTCGTGTTTATTATCATCCATCTGTCCCCTGCCCTCTCGAACTCTTGTGGCCTGTGCCTCCCACTTCTCTTGGAGAACAGTCCCGCTCCCCACTTCCCCCAGCCAGACTCCACACCTGGTCCGAGGGACCCTGGGGACCCTTCCCAGTCACCACCGCAAGAGGGAGGGGTCTGGATCTATTTGGCTGACTTTGGAGCTGAGCCCGGAGGGGCTCCGGTTCTCATGCTGACAGCTTGCGTTTTGCTCACTAGTCCTGAGGAAGGGGCCGAGCCAGTGGCTGGCTCTGGGCCGCTGCTTCGGGCTTGGTAGGTGCCATGCACTCGCCCTGCCTTTCTCTTGGTCCCTCTCTCCACCCACTGGGGACCGCTTCTTTCCCTTCCCACGTCTGTCCATCCAGCCCTCAGCTGTGCTAGCTGAGGAGGCTAATGGCCCAGGCCCCCTGGGGCCACTGCCCCACCGCATGCTATGAGGAGCGGTCGGGGGTGGCCTGGGCTGGAGGACAGGAAAGCAAGTGCTGAGCTCAGGGGTCCCCTCCCTTCCCACCCCCAGCTGTCGCTGTTTCCTCTCTCCTAGTTCCCCCACCACACCTCTCCCTTCCCCCGGCTTCCTGCTCCCCCTCGCCTGCCCGGGTCCGGCTGGGTAGGTCTCCTCTGCTCTCCCGCAGGACTCCTCCCCAGATGACTGGTGGTTTGTTTGGGGGTGGAGGAGGAGGGGGCGTGGCTCTCCTCGCCCTAGCGAGGGTTCTAGGTTGGGGCGGCAGGGCAGTGGGGGCTCAGCCCCTCTGAGCCTGTGAGTCAGCACTGTCCTCGGGATTGGTCTCGCTCCTCGACTCCCCGCCCCTGGGGAGGAGCTAAGCAGCTCGGGGTCCAGCCTGCTCGGCTGGGCTCCGGGCAGAGAAGCAGCTCCACGCTGGGCGGGGATGGGTCCCTATACTGCCTGGGTCTGAGCTGGGCCAGCGAAGCCACCTGTCTCTCTCCCTCCCGGGGACCCTGAGACTCCTGGGCTATAGAGGTCGGCCAGGCTAAGGGCCTGGGGATGCCCCCTGCCTGGCCCCCTTGCCCTGACTGGCAGGGGGGCCGGGCCGGGCCGCAGTACCCCGCTCCCGCCAGCCATGGATCTCCTACCCCCCAAGCCCAAGTACAACCCCCTGCGGAATGAGTCTCTGTCATCGCTGGAGGAGGGGGCCTCTGGGTCCACGCCCCCGGAGGAACTGCCTTCCCCATCGGCTTCATCCCTCGGGCCCATGCTGCCCCCTCTGCCCGGGGACGACAGTCCCACCCCCACCCTGTGCTCCTTCTTCCCCCGGATGAGCAACCTGAAGCTGGCCAACCCAGCTGGGGGGCGCCTGGGGCCGAGAGGGGAGCCAGGACGGGCAGCCGAGGATGGGGAGGGGACCTCAGGGGCCGCCGTGCCGGACTCGGGCCCCCTGCCTCTCCTCCAGGACATGAACAAGCTGAGTGGCGGCGGCGGGCGCAGGACTCGGGTGGAGGGGGGCCGGCTGGGGGGCGAGGAGTGGACCCGCCACGGGAGCTTTGTCAACAAGCCCACGCGGGGCTGGCTGCATCCCAACGACAAAGTCATGGGACCCGGGGTTTCCTACTTGGTTCGGGTGAGTGAACTTCCGCCCTCCGCGCCGCCCGCTCCTTCCCTGCCCGGCTCCCAGCCCCTCCGCTCACCCGACCCCACTGCAGTCTTTGCCCTGCCCTTCCCCAACAAGCCCCTCCTGGTGGGCTCAGTGGCTGCCTCCCATCGCCTCTCTCAAACCTGCCTCCTGTGCCGTAGCCCCTTCCCCGCCTGCTCTGTGGGGCAGGGGCTTCCTTCAGCTGCCTCCCCGCCTCCACCCCTGGCGCTCAGCGAGATGCCGGGTACAGGGTAAACCCCTAGGAAGGGTTGGGGAGAGTGGCTTCGCCCCTCCAGTCTCCTCCCCCTTTCGGAGATGTCACCGGATTGTCTCCACCCCACCCCAGGCCTGGCCCTCCTCTCCAAATTCTCTTCCCAGATGCAGGGGCCCTCTGCGCTGCCCTTCTGTTCCTTCCCCTCCATTTGCCTTGCGTGGTGTGGGTGGTGGCCCACACAGCGTCCTTCCCTCAGGGCCCTCTCACTGAGGAGGGAGGGAACAGGCCTGGGGCTCTTTGTGAAGGGTGGGGGGAAGTCGCTGACTGCCCCCTCCTCCCATCCTTTCCTTAGTATATGGGCTGTGTGGAGGTCCTGCAGTCCATGCGTGCCCTGGACTTCAACACCCGGACTCAAGTCACCAGGTCAGTGGCGAGTGGGTGGGCCATATGGTTAGGGTGCTGGAAGTGTCATATTTCGGGGTGGTAGCCTGGACTGAGAAGGAAGCAAGTCTGCCTGAGTAGGGGTTCTGACTGGACCCTCCATGCCTCCCCAGCCTCGGGGGATGTCAGGGAGGTGGCCACGGCAGCTGGCAGCTGGGGCTTGAGTGGAAAGTGGGGACAGATTGAGGTGGCTGCGGCTTTTGGGAAGGGACCAGAATATGGAGTGGCTGGAAGGGAGTGGGGCTGTAGTCATTGAGGCCCTAACCCAATTCAATCAGCCAGGAAGTGGCCGCTCCGTGTCATCAAATATTAAAGCTCTTAATTCAATCCGCCACGACAAAGAGCCCGGCATGCTCTGGGCGGCTGGCCTGGCCTCCCCCGCCCGCAGCCCGTGGCAGCCCCAGCTGAGTGGGATGCAGGCCCTGGAGTTGAGTCCCCCTCTTTCCCCAGGGAGGCCATCAGTCTGGTGTGTGAGGCTGTGCCGGGTGCCAAGGGGGCCACGAGGAGGAGAAAGGTATCTGGGGCTGATGGGGCTCGGGATACTGTTGAGCGACATGGAGGGAGGGGCAGGAGGAAGACAGGAGGGCACGTGGAGACAAGGCCAAAAGGCAGAGGTGTCGTGTCCTGTGGCTGGGAACCCTCAGCTTCTGACCCCCAGGCCTTTCCTAGCCCTGTAGCCGCCCCCTCAGCTCCATCCTGGGGAGGAGTAACCTGAAATTTGCCGGGATGCCAATCACACTCACAGTCTCCACCAGCAGCCTCAACCTCATGGCGGCTGACTGCAAACAGGTTGGTGTGGGTGTCTGGGCATGAAGGCAAAAAGCTAGGAGAGGGCATTGGTGCCCAGGAGATTATGAGAAGGGCGGCGGGAGCGTGGGAGTGGAGAGGTGGACCAGGGTCGGGGGATCTTGAGGCTTCCTGAAGCACGTGTCACTCCTTCCCTCCCTGTCCCCTACCCTGCCCCTCAGATCATCGCCAACCACCACATGCAGTCCATCTCCTTTGCATCCGGCGGGGACCCGGTGAGTAGGGAAGCCCGTGCAGGTGGTGGGACAGGCAGAAAGAGCTAGACAGGGCATGACTTGCAAGGGCATGTTGGAAGAATCGGGTTGGGGGCCAGGATGGGTGGAGGGTGCAAAATTTAGCTAAATGGTCTTTTCCAACTCCGCCCTCACCAGGACACAGCTGAATATGTTGCCTATGTTGCCAAAGACCCCGTGAATCAGAGAGGTGAGGCGCAGTGGGGGAGCACTGGGTGGGGCCGGCTGTCCCGGAGGCAGGTGAGCAGGACTACCGTCTTCTTTTCCTGCTTGGGGTAGAGAAAAGCAGGGACTCTTGCTGAGGAAGATGTGAACCCCTGCCCATGCTGCCTCTGGCACCACCACCCCTGCCCCGCCCCGCCAGAGCTCACTGACAGCCTCTGCTGTGCCCCCAGCCTGCCACATCTTGGAGTGTCCTGAAGGGCTGGCCCAGGATGTCATCAGCACCATTGGCCAGGCCTTTGAGTTGCGCTTCAAACAGTACCTCAGGAACCCACCCAAGCTGGTCACCCCCCACGACAGGTGAGTGGACGAGGAGGGGGCTGGCAGCTCTTGGGGCCTCACCTAGTTGGGAAAGTGGGTTGGTTCTTCCCATACTTGCACTCAGTGGCCGGGGGCAGGAAGTAACCTGTATGCCCCTCCTTCCCACTTCCTGCTATTCTTATGCTTCCTGTGGCCCATCGTCACAGGAAAGGCTTGGAGGCCCTGTACCCTCCATAGAGCTGCATTCCTGATGACCCAGCCTTTTCATTGTCGGCCCACCCCTCTCTCTGCCTTGCCATTTCTCTGGCCCTTCCTGCCCCGAGGAGGTGAGGGAGGCTATCTTTTCCCTGAGATCCCTACTTGTGCCAACTTGGGCCCGGAGGGACAAACAGTGGAGCCAAGACGTATTGAGGTTAAAAGATTGCATGATTCCTCACCCTCTCCCCCACCTTGGGAGACAGTATGGGGCATGAGCTTCAAGTCAAACCTGAACCGAGACCTCACAGGTTTGCTGCCACCACACCCTGTAGTTTTATGATCTTGGAGAAATCTTCTCACCTAGAC